TGATGTTTATTTGCTTACCCCCAGGGCATCCAAGATGTAGGTGACTTTGTTTCTTCAGTAGAACACAAATTATGATTTTTAACTCCAGCCGTTGCAGTCTATCAGTCGTATAATGCATGGCAATGGTAACAAAATCTATGAGAGTAAAAAAAACATGCACAGACAAATCCAAACTTGGATGCCCCGGGGGTAAGCAGATAAGCCTCAAATTTTCATTTTTGGGTGAACTATCCCTTTAACATCACAGGAATACATTACATTTTAAAATATATAAACATTTATTTAAATTGCAATAATATTTCACAATATTACTATATTTTTGATCAAACAAATGTGGCCTTGGTGACAAAAAACATCAAAAACATTAAAAAAATCATATTTCCAGTAGGTTTTAAAAATAAAATATAGTCCAAATTGTCTAGACCAATTTAAAACGTACTCGAAAGATGACAAAAAAAGACGGAGCCATCACTACAGGAAACATCATCCCGATTCATTGTGCTTCTGGTGTGTTGCAGCGTAACAGGGGAAATACTTCAGACTTTGAAATTAGGTCAGTCTCTCTGCCTCTGTATTTTTCTTTCTATTTCTGTTTGTATCCACGTGATGTCATTCTCTTTCTTTTGTTTCCATGTGTACATGTACCTCCACACCTCGCACACGGCTGAAAGTGGGGCAGTTGGTTAAGGTAGCCGTGGGGAAAGGGGGGAGCGTCTGGTCGGACACGCGGCGGATGCTAAATCCAGACTCTCATTACACTGACTGTATGTCAGAGATGAATTAGAGGCAGGTCAAAGCAACCCCCACTATTAATCATTATATATTGATCATCAGACCAGGTGTGTGAGACAGAGGGTGAAGGGACCCCTGTAGCTATTAGGAGGACGAGATACTCACAGGTACAGGCTCTTGAGGGGATGGACATTAAATCAACATCTTTCCCGAGCTGTCTGGTGTCTTTCTCTCACTCCGTCTCCTACGCGTGCATTAATATTCTGCACAGAGCGACGGTTACTGTATTTACATATTTGTAACGACTCTCGCCGGCCCAGTAATTAATGGTGCCCGCTGATGCGAGGCGGAATCTGAGGGCATGTTTCCTCTGCGTTGCCATGGCTACCCACTCCCGCTGTGACACCACGGCGACTGGAGACACGGGTGTTAACTGCTTCCTCGAGGGTCAGGACTTCATCACTCTGTCATAGTCACGCTGGAATAAAGGGATATTTCCATCCATTCATTCATCCATCAGTACCTCCATCCATCTCTGTAGACACGTCCTAAAACTCTTGTGTCTCAATGTAACCACTGGGACTTCTCTGTCTTTTAACCCTCTGAAGGTACCCACTACATTGGACAGATAGTTAAAAGCCATCTTAACCATTCAAGGTGTGATGTTTAATCCAAAGCACCATAACTTTTGATTTGTTCTATATGACTTGTTTGCACAAATTTGGCTGACAAAAGCGGAGAAACAAATATCTTACATCTCGAATATTGACTTATATTTTTATTGTATTACAATAGAATAAGAATACTTTTGAGAGATTTATATTACTATTTTTTTATAAGTGTCAAAGGTATATGTGTGCATTTAAGATATTATTGAAATGTGGTTAACGCAATTATTTTTACCTTCACATTCACTAAATTTAATTAGTTTATTCTGCTTTCTAAAATCAAGACATTAATTGCTATTAATTTATATTTCTTATTTTTCTTTTTTGTATTTTAAAATAAAATTTTTTTTTTAACGAAAAAATGTTTTAAGTGTCAAAGGTATATTTGTGCATTTAAGATATTATTGAAATGTGGTTAACGCAATTATTTTTACCTTCACATTCACTAAATTTAATTAGTTTATTCTGCTTTCTAAAATCAAGACATTAATTGCTATTAATTTATATTTCTTATTTTTCTCAAAATGTGTTCTTTTTTGTATTTTAAAATAAAAACAATTAAGAATGTACAATACATTGTCAGCTTAATTAAAGTACATATTTTCCAATATTTTAACAATTTGTTTTAGTTAAAAATGGATGTAAAAGCCAGATATTTAATTTTGAAAACATGATTTGATTTAGATGTCTTAATAATAATATTACATATTTTCCTCACACATTATAAATGGATTTTTATTTTTGTATTTTAAAATAAAAACAATTAAGAATGTACAATACATTGTCAGCTTTACATATTTTCCAATATTTTAACAATTTGTTTTAGTTAAAAATGGCAATGTAAAAGCCAGATATTTAATTTTGAAAACATGATTTGATTTAGATGTCTTAATAATAATATTACATATTTTCCTCACACATTATAAATGGATTTTTAATGCATACAAATATACAGCTGCTTTTATTATCCCCTCACAAGGGGATCATCATATTTAGGGGTCCTTAGCATCAAAAACCTTTTATCTAAAGGCCACTTTTATTCATTCAAATATTACTGTATTTATTGCAGTTAATATTCCATAAATAAAAAATACATCTTTTAGTAGACTGCATGCATTTAATTTTGTTTATTATAAATTTAATTAGCACATTTCATTTAGCTCTACTGTGTTTATAAGATATATAAAATGTATTATTACATTTATAATTGTTATAATTATATTTTAATTATTTATATTAATGATACAGCTTTTACATAATTTACAGAATTAAGTAATATTTGCATACTTCTAATACCTATTGTACATTTATGTAACTGACATGCATTCAGGGTTACTTAAGTGAAGAAAAAAAAAAGATTCGTAAAGGTTTTAAAGCTTGATGAAGCAGAGTTTCGAAAAAAATTCAGGTGTGATTATGTTTTAGATTAAATCTTTAATCCACATAATAGAATCCATGTAGGAACATAGAAAGACATTTGATACAGTGGCAAAAGTAGAACCTAAGGAATACTGATCCCAGACAAAAGAGGGGACAGGTGTAAAAGTGAAGGATAGAGATAAGAATATTGATCAGTGGCATTACTTTGAACTTTAGACAGGACAGAAATGTGAAAGTGAATGAAACATGAATAGAGCTGTTTGCATTGATGTCAGTGAAATTACACCATGTATGAGTTATTTCAGGCTTTTAGGAGTCTCTCCTTTCAAAATTAACATGACATGATCTTAGAGAATGTTTCATAAAAGTTTTGAGGTCTTTCATGGTGCTTTTACATCTTGGTGCCTGACAAACCCTGTCCACACTCTGTTTTAAATGGAGGCCAGGATATTCCTCACCTTCTGTGTTTCACAAAAGTAAATAAAGACTTGTGTGACTATCCCTTAAGAAACAACATCTTTATGGTATAATGGAAAAGAGAATATTAGTGATCAGATTGATAATACTGGGTTTGGTCTCATATTTGCCATGTCTTGGTGCTTCTCACACTGGACAACAGCACTGAAGGGCCAGGAGCCGTAAAGTTATAATTAAACTGCCCTGAGGCTCTGTTCTTTAACACATCTTGTGCAGTGTTATGAACAAAAGCAATGACTGCAGTGTCCCTGCACCAGCCCAAAACAACTCTTACCTTCATACCTGTCTGTCTTATTTATTTATTTATTTTTTACTGTTTTCTTTACAATAAAATAAAAATGTGCCATGGGTTATAAACATTAGTTTTCAAAGCTGTAAAAAGTGTATAAAAAATGTTTTGGGATCTTCTGGCATGAAAGATAAAAGGCTTTACTTGTAGTAAATCAAGAAGATTTTGGGCTTTCTTATTCCTTGTACTATTTAATTAGGACTCACTGGTGTCCGATCCTTACCCTGATACTCTCTGAAGAAGACTTAACTGCAGAAATGCATCAGTGAGAACATGAAATAACATACTCTAATAAATTACGATCTCTCCCCGAGTTGAAAATATTACAGAGTGCATTTGCCACACAATCTACTATACATATTATTAACTCATGTATGCGCTATATTCCTATTGCTACTTATTTCTACAAAATCGTTACGGTTTCATGAAAACATTTTCAATTTGTTTAGTAAAAGTTATCGTTAGCTTATAGCATTAAAAGTTAAATGTACACATAACATAACACATATTTCTTCTGATCAAAACTCAATGAAAAAAAAAAACAGCACAGCAAGTATACTGTATAGTACTTTTTTTGATCATATAAGGCAGAACTTCATTTGTATTTCATTATATCATATATATTCATATATATATATATATTGGCTTCATGGTTGAACTATCTACATTTCTGGCTCTTTCCTTCTGTGTGCACGTGAGGACAGATATCCACATATGTGACCCTGGAGCACAAAACCAGTCATAAGTAGCACAGGTATATTTGTAGCAATAGCCAAAAATACATTGTATGGGTCAAACTTATCGATTTTTCTTTTATGCCAAAAATCATTAGGATATTAAAGGCACAATATGTAATTTTCGCCGCTAGAGGGCGCGTATTCAAAATAAACAAAGAAACAAAGGCGTAGTTAGATGACGCAGTGACTGAGTGTGGAATCATGGGAGTTGTTGTCTTCATCCCCACAGCCGATGCAATCCGACGGGACTCGGGCAGAAATCATGTTCATGGATGAGTTAATGATTTATTAACGTAGTAGAATGAAGCAGGGTGAGGCTGAAAAAGTAAAGATCATGTTCCATGAAGATATTTTGTACATTTCCTACTCTTAATATATTAAAACTTAATTTTTTGATTAGTAATGTGCATTGCTATGGACTTCATTTGGACAACTTTAAAGACAATTTTCTCATTTTGATTTTTTTGCACCCTCAGATTCTAGATTTTCAAATAGTTGTATCTCAGCCAAATATTGTCCTATCCTAACAAACTATACATCAACTGGAATACTTATTTATTCAGCTTTCAGATGATGTATAAATCTCAATTTCGAAAAATTTACCCTTGTGACTGGAGGCTTGTGGTCCAGGCCAGGGTCTCTTATGTAGTTTATCGTTCTTCTTCGTTAGTCATAACTGCTCAAAAGCGCCCCCTGGTGGTGAATGTGAATGAAACACAATGTATAGCGTTTGTATATGTATAACGTATAGCGAATGCACGTTAATCGACATAATGTAATTTAGTGCAATGTGAATATGAAGATATGTTAAGTAAACAAGAGAATCCGTCATTATATTTCTTATTTGCCCACTTTTGCCGTTGTAATGCACCACTTGACACGACACATTTCCCAGAGCTGGCTTGATTAAACAGGTATGTGCTTCTCGTTTTGATTTAGTGTGTATATACTACTAACACTGGAATATCTTGTTGATAAAACAACGATGAAACCTAAATGTTTCTAATGACAGTTTGTTAACAATATAGTTTAAACAGTTGCTTTTGACATCACTAAATTTAAATGAATGTAAACAAACAAACAAACAAACAGGCCCAATGGGTATCATGTGCGCCAAAAAAAAAAAAAAAGTTCCCATGTTTGCTATTTTGAATTAAGATGTTTAAAATGATATGGAGAATGCCTTAACAATCATTTTTAAGTGTATTTGATCAAATATGCACCAAAAAATGAGAAACTCAGTGTTTTCAAACGGTGTTTCAACTGTAGGCTGCTTGATATTAATTTAGTTTAAGGATAAGTAGTACATTTCAAAACAACTTCGGGGGAATTTCATAATTTGAGAAACCAGTCAGCAAAATAAATTCTCTTCTATGCTTATTCACTGTCAAAACCATATTACTGCCCCGTTCAAGCCCACCCTGCTGAAAAAAAAAAATTTAATGGTTAGAATTGGAATTGTATTGGTTTTATTGAAAACTGTAATGGTCCCCGAGGGTCTGCAGGTAATTTGTTGCCTTTTATTGGTGGCTTGATAAAACTGCTATCCTAATGGAATATGTCCCAAAACAAACTAAAGGAAAACATTTTTTAATGGGTATAATGGTTAATAGTTGATGGTTTGTAATGTTTGTTGTAATGTTTGTAAACTATTAGAATTTCTGTGATGGTTTCTATTGTTTTTTTTTTTAGAAGGGGAAAAGCATCTGAAAACAGCAATGAGCACTCATAGATATATGCTTTTCATCAGAGAGGCAAATGCTTAAATCTGTCATTTAATTTGCTAAATTCTCCTAATAGAATATAGACAAGCGTAACTAGTGGACTAGTGTAATCCTGTTGAACGTATCTGACGATGTCTTTGGTAGCTCGTGTGTGTTTGGAGGGGCTTATATAGGAGTATGCCGTTGCATAGCTCATCGATATCTGGCTCCCAGCCATAAAACAGCAGAGTAAAGTGCATCTCAACTCTCTCTTACTCTCTTCTTCTCTTTGTTTTCCATGCCCTCACCTGCTCTTTTCTGAAAGACAGAGGCATAGATGGGAATATGAAGTAGCATTGCTCAGTGATATATTTGCATCAGTGATTTTGTACTAATATGAGTGGAGTGGAGCAACAGCAGTTTTCCCTTCATAATCGATTCCACCTGAGCTCCATTCAAGGTTTTCCACTATGCTGGTCTGTCATATACTTTGCTTAAACTTACATTTTATGATTTAAAATGTATGTCCAGTGACTAGTCAGCTGTATTTTAATATGTTATTCACTTTGGTATGTTTTTTATTTAAAAATCACAAGCCATATTTACTTTAAGTTATGCACATAAATGTATATGGACTCCTAATAGTTTTTAAATTAATTAATTAATTATTTATTTATTTTTGCCTGTGTATAGGTATTGTTTTTGGCGGTGCTTTGTATTTCAGGTAGTGTTAGCATGCATCTTTCAAGACTGAGATTCTTGAGAGGATTTGCCAACAGCTCTTAAAAATGTTTATTATTTTAGAGATGTTATTTTAGCATCTAAATCAGAGTTTTGCTTGCTGTAAGATTGTTCATGAGAGACCTGCTCAGGTCCCCAGGCTACATTTTTCCTCATCTGAGCGAACACTTGATTTTAGGTTTTGAGTACATTAGATTTGACTATAAATCCTGACATTTATTATATTTTCATTAGATTAAGAAATGCCTAAGAGCTGCAGTGTTCTCTGGATATGATGAGGTATCGCTGTATTATAGAGAAAAAAAACCTTAGGGCTCAAGAAAACATTTTTTTCTGATTGCTTGATAACATTTTCTCTAACCCCAAGAAAACCTTCTTTAAAAGAATAAATAAATAAATTAACACTACATTTACGTTTATACATTTACATTCATATTTTGCATTTAAAGGGATAGTTCATCCCAAAATGAAAATTTTGTCATCATTTAATCACCATCATGTTGTTCCAAACCTGTATGAGTTTCGTTCTTCTGTTGAACACGAAAGAAGATATTTTGAAGAATGTTGGTAACCAACAGATGCTGGTAGCAGCCATTGACTTCCATAGTATTTTTTTCCCATACTTTGGAAGACATTGTTGTCCATCAACTGTTTGGTTACCAACATTTACCTTATTTTGTGTTCAGCAGCAAGAAACTCAAAAGACTTGAGGGTGAATAAATGAAGACAGAATTTTCATTTTTGTGTGAACTGTCCTTTTAATTATCTAAATAACAAATTTAAGTTAATTAATATAATACATTTAAATACACTGACTCACCCTCAGATTCCCGATTTTCAAATAGTTGTATCTCAGCCAAATATTGTCCTATCCTAACAAACCATACATCAACGGAAAGCTTATTTATTCATTTATATAAATGATGTATAAATCATAATTAAAAAAAATTGACACTTATGACTGGTTTTGTGGTCCAGGGTCACATATATAATCATAGCAAAAACTTCCAAGATTGCAATAAATTCATAAAAACTGATGGCACTGCCACTGAGGGATCTGTTTCGGATTGGTCTTTGACACGAAGTTTGATTGTTTAGTAGCACATTTGAGTATACGGTATCTTAAGAAACAGATGAAAGAAAAAAACATCCAGATCTTCAGTGCCGCTCTCGTACACGTCTGCAGTGTTTAGTGTTTGTGTCTGAAATGTTTTTCTTGCATTGTGGTTATTCATGGGTCTCATGTGAGATTTGCAACCCTTTGTGTGCGTGTGTAAACCCGTGTGAAATGTGTGTTTGTTGTTAAACACATGAATGTGTGTTTGCGTGTGTCTTGTTGCTTTAATTGAATCTGGCCCTTGGGAAGCAGACTGTCTCAGCTGTGGGGTTGTGATCTCATCTCACTGTGTGACTGGGTGAGTACGCTGGCAGTCACTCACAGTCAAGTCAATATCACAGATAAATATTGCAAAGGCCTGTTCTCCAGGCTCTATGAATAATGAATGCAGCCATTTTGGCTCTAAACTTGCCTGTTGTCTCGCCAGGCGTGCGTGAGCACATCTCTGTGTTTCCACCCGTCTTCCTATCGCTCCCTCCGTCTCTCTCTCTCTCCAGTACACTCATAAACTTCTCATTATAAACTGACCTGTTGGAGAGGGATCAGAAAGATTCATAACTCTTCTGTGAGTGAGTGTGTGTGTGATTTATTGCTCGATCACAGCAGAAAGTGACCTGAGATGGGTTCAGGAGTGTGGATCCTCTGCAGGGCTACAGACAAGACGTGCAAGTAATCAAAATCTCTTCTGTTTTAGTATATTATGGTTCCAAACAGCATATGTGCATGATGCACATCCGTCTACAAGATGAAGGGCAGCAGGCACATGTAATAAAGTTTGCACATTTGAGATTGTTCTTGTTCCACACTGGACTTGTTTCATTTTTCACACTGTTCATAGTTTACTAGTTTTAATCATCGTTTCAAGGCTTCACTGTACACTTGAGAGAGTTAATTCTCTCATTTGCGCACTGTATTTATGATAAATAACATGTGTCGGTCGAGCACAGACACACACACACACAAAATAAAGTCATTGTCCAACGTTTTTATTTTATTTCTCTTATAGAAAATTAAATGTGTGAAAGTTTGTGTGGCTTTAGCAAGGATATTTAATGTATACCTGAAATAAAAATCTCTTTCTTTTTTTAAGAGGTTTTTAGCAGTTGTATGTAAACCTTTCAAAACAGACCTGTATACAATGCTATCAGCCTGTGTAATTTCATTTTGCAATAATCATATTTAATGGATGAATTTTAGGTGAAGAACTTCAATACCCATGAATTCTAAAGAGAAAAATCATCCAAAAATGAGAGAATTGATGTAATAAAATCTCTCTACACTCTTAAGCATCTTAAATATGATTTCCCCCCAATACATTACAATGCAATGCATTTATGTTTAACGAATAACTATGCTATTTTGGGGTTGGTAAGATTTGTTTAAATGTAAAAAAGGAGTCTCATACGAAAAACTACAGTAAAACAGTAATATTGTGAAATGTTATTGCAATTGCTGTTTTCTATTTTTATATATTTTAAAAGGTAATTAATTTCTGCAAAGGTAAAGCTGAATTTTCAGCATCATTACGCCAGTCTCAATTTAATGCATCCTTGTGGAATTCAAGTATTGTTTTCATTAAAAAAAAGTACTGCCAAACTTTTGAACAGTAGTGAAAATTGTTTTACATGCCCCAAGAACACATTGATATGCAAATTAGATGCAGTGTATAGATACATTGTATATAATGGGAAAACACTCTTATGGCCATTTTACACACATATTGCGTAAAGCAAAATGGTATATCCGATCATTCTGTTAAATCTTTCATGACATAGTTGATCATCTTTATACAAAGTTTGGTATGAAAAAAAAAATCCTGAAACCTAAAAATTTATTGGTGATTTAAAAAAACTAATCCATTGTTTTTGCCTATTCATGTCATTCTATCTTTTTTTTTTAAATTGAGTCCTGGGTCCTGTACAGAGGACATAGCATAACATATGTTTCAAAACTGTTATTTTTCCATTTTTTTTCTTATGCTCTAAACTATGTAACGACATGAAAAAAAAAAAACACTTCGCAAATAAATAGATAAAATAAAAATAAAAAATAAAATAAAATAGAATAGAATATAACATTTCTTGGTCCCAGGAGGATATTGTACCAGCATTTTCCAGTTTACATAATTTGTCATGATTCATGGAATTTTAGTTAATTCCTTCATAAACATATTTTGACTTCCTTATTTTCACGTTTTTTCTTAAAGTGACAGTACACAGGTCCTCTAGGCAAAACCTACAGTTACGTTTCTTGCACGTGTAAACGAAGTGTGTGAAGTGACGTTTGGCCAAGTATGGTGACCCATACTCGGAATTTGTGCTCTGCATTTAACCCATCCAAGTGCGCACACACA